CAATCAAGCCAGGGAGCTACAACATCAACTCATTGAGATGTTGAAGGGTGCTGGCATGAATCTGCGCAAGTGGTCCAGTAATGACCCGGAGCTACTTAAAGATCTTTCCTCAGATCAGCTCAATAGCCCATTCGACTTTAAGTGCTCAGAATCGAAGAAAACGCTTGGACTCAGGTGGAATCCATCAACGGATACCTTTAGCTTCCAAAATCCGGTCCAGTGTCGTAATCAATGCGTCACGAAGAGGCAGTTGCTATCTGAAATATCGAAACTTTTTGACCCATTGGGTTGGCTGTCTCCACTATCAATAAGAGCGAAACTTCTATTCCAAAACGCATGGTCATTAAAATTATCTTGGGATGAAAATGTTCCACAATCAATTCAAGATGATTGGATTCATCTCAGGAGTGATCTCAATCTCATTGACCAATTCATTATACCGCGATACATTGGTAATACAAACCAATTGTATCAAATACATGCATTTTGTGACGCTTCCGATAAGGCATATGCTTGTGCAGTATATGTCGTAAGTAAAGATCATAAGGGCGAGTGCATATCGAGACTCGCTGTCGCAAAAACAAAATTAGCGCCTCTGGCTAAAAAGGTGTCACTGCCAAGGCTCGAACTCTGTGGTGCGTTACTTCTTGCTCAACTTATCAAGAAGGTTATGGAGTCATTATCAAATGAAAACGTGGAAATTTATGCCTGGACTGACTCCATGATAGTCCTAGGATGGATCCAAGGAGACGTCCATAGGTGGAAACAATTCGTGGCTAATAGAATTATCACAATCACCAATATCGTTCCATCATCATGTTGGCATCACGTACGGTCAGAGGATAACGCGGCAGATTGTGCCACTCGGGGTCTCACGTCACAGAAGCTACTTAACCATCCATTATGGTGGCAGGGTCCAAAATGGATAATTCATTTCGATCGTAATACATTACCTGTCACTTCTTATCAATCGCCGAATATTGAGATCAAAAAACACTGTGTGAACACCGCCTTATATAAAAATAACATTTCAGTTATACAAGAGCTATTGTGCAATTACAGTTCATTAACTCGTATTGTAAAAATAGTCGCTTGGATATCACGTTTCATTAAACGATCGCGAGGTAAACACACAGGTGGGACGGAATTTTTGACGTCAGCAGAGTTGCACAATGCATTACATTTAATCATACAGAATTATCAATTATACGAATTTCATGAAGACATTCAGTTTATCAATCAAAAGGGATACGTGCACCCTAAAAGTAAAATATCATGTCTCAATCCTTTTCTGGATGAGGACAGTATCCTTAGAGTGGGAGGACGACTCAAAAACGCATGTATCAAGGACTCATCAAAGCACCCTATCATATTATCTAGCCACAGTCGTCTCACCGACTTAATCATCCATCAGGCTCACATGACAACATTGCATGGGGGCCCGCGTCTGACACTTGCATATATCAGAGATAAATATTGGATCATAAGCGGAATTCGTACTGTCAAGAGAAGGTTGAGATCCTGCGTTAAGTGTCAGCGCTTCAATCAATCAAAGTATAATCAAATCATGGCTGATCTCCCACAGCCTCGAGTCACCCCGTCACGTCCATTTACCCACACCGGTGTCGATTTTACGGGACACGTAGAGTTAAAAGCCAATAAGGGACGTGGAATCAAAACGGTTAAGGGGTATATAGCAGTATTCGTTTGCTTGTCCACCAAAGCTGTTCATCTGGAACTTGTTTCCGATCTGAGTACTCCAGCATTCTTAGCAGCCTTCCGAAGATTTTCAGCTCGTCGTGGTGCACCTAGTCATATGTATAGTGACAATGGAAGAAATTTCGTAGGCGCCAATCGTATCATTAAGAAGGAGTATCAAGAAATCTTAGCCAATATCAACACCGATCTATTTGATAACATCAGTCACATGAACGTAAGCTGGCATTTCAATGCTCCAGCGTGGCCAAGCGCAGGTGGTCTTTGGGAGGCAGCAGTCAAAAGCCTTAAATATCATTTAAAGCGGATCATTGGAGATCAAAAACTCACGTACGAGGAGTTTACTACTCTACTTTACCAAATAGAGGCGTGTCTCAACTCTAGACCACTTTGTCAACTGACTGAAAGCCCTGACGATGACTTTCTTTCGCCAGGACACTTTTTAGTTGGTGGCCCAATTCTATCCAGGCCACAGACAGATCCAGATCACATCAATCTCTCGACGCGATGGCAACTCGTTCAATCTATGAATAAACAGCTTTGGAAGCGGTGGTCAAGCGAATATCTTCAACAATTGCAGGCTAGATCAAAATGGCGTAAACCAAATAGAAATTTCAAAATTGGTGACGTAGTCCTTATCAAGGAAGAAAATCTACCACCTGGCAAGTGGGCATTAGGACGCATTCAAGATGTACATCCAGGAAAGGACAACTATGTTAGAGTGGTCAGTCTAAAAACAAAAGGTGATAACATTATCAAACGTCCTGTCAACAAACTCGTGTTATTACCTACCAACGAGGACACGGCACAAGATCAAGCTATCGATCAAGGAAATTCTTCCAACCCATCACCGCCATCATCATGTCAACAAAAAAAGAGTGAGCGTACTCAACGTTCTCGTAGAGGAATATCATTCAAGAGCCTATTCATTCATTCATTATTATTCATTTTCATGTTGCTATCCCCTGTTCACGCACAAAGTACCAACAATCATCAATCATATAATCTGACGTCATTAGATGAAAATCAAGCAATTTACTTCGACAGACTGTCGAACCTGCAATACATCAAGGATGAATGGCGTCTAGTTGTCTACTATAATATGACTACCTACTGGAAAGGCTTATCGGATATCAAAAGTTACGTCAATCATATCAAAACAATGTGCATCACTCATTCAAGTAAACAATATCAGAGTATCATTGTTCAACTAGAGCAGGAAATTAGTGAAATTGAACACTATGACATGTTACTTAAAAATACAAATGAAGCACCTATGAGATTAAGAAGAGGTCTTGTAAATGGAGTCGGTTATATCGCAAATTCTCTATTCGGTGTACTGGACGAAAGGTTTGCCGAAAAATACAAAAGCGACATCGAACAGATCAGTCACAACGAAAAACATCTTCAAAATCTTATCAAAAATCAAACCAGCATCATGGAATCCGAATTCAACATTTTACGCCGTAATGAAAACGTCATGAATAAACAATTCTCCTTTATCAATCAACGGCTTCAAGATTTAGCGCGTGAAGTATATGAAGTACGTTTGGTTAATCAAGACAATAACTATATCACGTCATCATCTTTAGCTGCATCAATCATTCTATCAAACCTTCGATGGATCCAGCAGACTTTGATTGGGACTGTAACGGATATTTCTCATGGACGTATCGACAGCCATTTACTATCTCCCGAACAGCTATCGTATCAGCTGAGCATCATCTCTAGTCAGCTAAATGGTAAACTTACTATACCAGTAGATATCAAAAACATCAAGGACTTGTATCGATTACTCAAGGTTTCAGCTAGGGTTATCTCAAATTACTTAATCATAGAAATCAAAATTCCGCTTTTAAGCAACGAAATGTTCGAGTTAAACAAAATCATCTCTATCTCTCAGAAACAAGGACAACACTACTATCAATTTCTTACATCAGTATCATTTATTGCGTACAATCTGCACAAGGATACAGCTTTTCTTCTATCAGAAGAAGATCTAAAGTCGTGCACTCATATTCCTAGCGATATATTATTGTGCTCATTAAACATGCCCATTTACGATCTAAAAATGAAGCAATCCATCTGTGACATTAAAATAATTAATCATGCTCACTTATGTAAGTCTGTAAAATCGTCGTGCGAAGAGCGGTGGATCAAGTTGCACAGGCCAAACACCTGGTTGTACACATGTTGTCCGGAATGCCAGGTTCGCATTATTTGCGCGAACGGAGTGACAATGACCCATCTTATAAACAATGGCATCATTACTCTAGGTCAGGGCTGCACATTGAAAGGGGATACCTTTAGTATTTATGCTCATAATAACTTTTTCAGTAATTTGAATATTCATCATCATATCGAAGTCCCAGAGGTGTCTATGCTTAATCGAATTATGAAAACATCAATACCCGACAATATTAGTATGGTCGAGGATCATCAGGTTATTTGGGATCAGTTAAGGGCTCAGATTGACGAGGTTAAGGAACAGTCATCAACAGATCTGAGCATTCATGATGTTCACCATTACACTGTGCTATACATCAGTGTAGCCGCGGTGATCATACTGGGTGGCGTCGTCGTGTACCTCATCAGGAGTCGTCGAGCTGCGGCTAGGGCAGCAGCGTCGCCGGCCCCCCAGGGCCAGGAGGCTGCTGGGGCGGGGCCGGCGACAGTCGCGCCGGTGGATCCGGCGCCAGTGGCGTCACATCAAGCGCGATCAGTGCTTAAGTGCAGTGAAGTGTTCACGGTCAGTGGTGTAGATAAGGCTACTTCGCCAGAATCTATGTGATCAGTGCGCTCCGTGACTAAATTGGTTAGGTCCTACGTTTTAGTGTATATTTTATTTTACATTACATTATAGCACCTAAGACTATCTTTGATTCATCACCTTGTTATCATCCATCATCCTTTTATACAATTTAATTTTGATCACATTATCTATCTTCTTTGTCCTTTCAATCTTTTTCATCTCAATCGTGTTTTATCTATCTCTTTTGAGTGGGCAGGATGTACGGAACCGTACATTATTTTAACTACTCACGCCCGTGCGTTCTGCACACTCAGGTTTTGTGTATATTGCAAACAATGCAAAATGTAATTTGTGTCTTTTATAACGAATTATAAATCAATGTTAATCTAGCATTCAAATCGGGTGGTATTATTTCTATATCCTTATAGGATTAACCCCTCATCATATCGTATCATCAAAGGTGTAGGAATCTTCTACATACTTTATAAGTACTTAAAAATATTCTTACTAAAATATTTCGTTTCTCCAACAGGACAGAACGTGTAACGGGAGCTAAGAATGCTCAGCTAGTGTTCGTAAACGGCAACAACCCGCGGCAACCGAGCACGCCGCAGCTGCTGAGGGTAAGTAAACTTTAAAATGTCTTGTAAGGTAAAATCGATGGGCACTCAAAGGTTTTTTGGTAAAAGATAATGCAGCCAACGACATAAGCATATAAGTGTGTCGGTCAACCGGAGTGATACCACGGCCTCACAGAAAACCGGCGTGAAACAGCGTTGTGTTTCGCAGTGTGAGTGAGGTTACCGGAGGCCCAATCTTTCCGCTCCCCCAATCCCTTATCCCCAAAAGGTCGGCAACACACTCGTAACTCCTCTGTTGCTGCGGGTGTCCATGGGCGGCGCTGATTGCTTACCAGCAGGTAATCCGTATGCTCGTTTGTCGACGTATCACATAAAAAAATAAGCGACCTATTTGCTCGGGCTTTGAGAAACCGATTTACAAGGGTTTATTATTTAGTCTAAGGTTATCCTACAGAGAAATCGTTGCCCAGTATAAAGCAAACAAATTAAAATTATTATGAACTCAACTCCTCATCACCCAGATACTAGAAGAAACGATTCAAAAGAAAATCCCGAAGCCTCAGTTCGAGGCTCCAACATCAGCTCGCGGACTGGATCGCTACCGACTCGTGTTCAACATCTCCGAGAAGACTGCGGACTCGTTGTTCCAGTACCGCACAAAGTTTGTCCAGCACATGCTGACCAGCGCCATGTACGCTAACAGCGCAGTCGGGAAACCGTGGGAGATGATTGGCAGGTACAAAACCTTATAAAATTTTGGAAGAGTTTTAACAGGTTCAGGGTGGAATAGTGCTTAGCCAGGGTCGCGGGTCAAGCGGAATAAGGTAAAACGGCCTTGGCCTGAAGTAAGAGAAGGAACGGGGAGTTTTTAGTCAGTAAAAGTCTGATACTCCCGTCTTCGTCGCCATACCCTGGGCGAGAGAAGTTATTTGATGATTTTCCCTCCACAGAAAGAAAAACAAAAGAGGTGGGATAGTACTATAATACCTTAAGACGTAATAGCTTGTCATCCCTAGAATTCCCTGATACTGAAGTAGACTCTGTCTAAAGAAACGAATAGATACATTAGCCTCACTGGTTGTCTTAGAGATAAACATGTAGTCGATTATCTTGTCAAACGGATTATTTTTTGCTTGACAGACAATCACAAAATTTTCATTACCTCACACTCATAAAACAAGCAAAAGATTTGGAGTATAAATAAAATCGAGAGTTCATTATTATGAAGCATATACTTAACACGTTTCAGTTATAACATCCAAATATTGTCGCGACGTGACCGGCGGGTGTAGAGGACGAACTATGACGTCACAACTGTCTGCCCTTTCATTCCACCCCTCTTCTAAACTACCTTTATGTAATAAACATCCATATACCTCTGACTCAAACTTTTCCTAACAATTGTTCACAACATAAGGTACTGAGCCCAGAACATTAACTACCTCAATCTGCAATAAGTTGAAATCTATAAAAACGATTTTTTTAATTCATGTGTGAGGTTTTTGGCCTGATTATTGTTGATATTTATCTACAATGCATCGTCTTGTTGCGAATGCATCGACTTGTTGCGCAAAGCCCAAAATATAGTTTAACCTGGGTGGTGGGTCAAGCGCAATAAAGCTACCTACTCGGTCTGGAGCAGGAGGTTTTTAATTAGTGAAAGCTTGACCCTCTCCAATAACTTATTCGCTTCCATTCGTTCATAGTCATCAGATAATGAAATATAATATTTCGTATTATTTTTCTCCATATTATGTATTTTGTTTTGTAGTAGTATATTATCCATATATATCCAAATGTATTATCCATATTATCTTTTTAATCTCTTATTTTATTTATTATGTATGTTCTTTCCTTCCTCGGGATCACAGGATCCCGGACCATTGGAAGACGTACGAGGGGCCGAAGCCAACTCGCAGAGGCCATTATCATCTTCCTGCCCTTGTCCCGTTTTATTTGGGGTCGACGCAATATGTTTTTTTCTTCCATTCTATCCTGTCACTCGTCACGCTAACGCTAACTCCTCTGTCTTCCATCACACAATCCCTCCGTATTTATGCTCATGGCTTCTTTTGTAACATGCTTTTTATCTCTCCTTTTTGACACAAAAAAATAATTACTTTGATTTAACCTAAAATAATAAGTACTTTGTTTTAACCTCCATAACAAATTTGAACAATTAAGTCCTAATTAGTTATTTATTTTCTTTCCCAGTGTCTCCGAACAGATCATCAATGAACTCCTGCTGAACATCACAAAGGACATGCAAATATACGATCTGGTGCAGGAATTGTACAACAAGGAGACTTGCTGACTTGTCGAGCACATGCTGCATACTTGTGTTCGAGAGAAAAAGGAAGACGTCATAATACCTTTGATTTGATACTTTATATTTTTCTTAATACATTTCTTTGCTTGTGTAAGTTGTGGATTTTGTTTTACTTTGAACCTTATACGATTGATACTTTACGGTAGGAATGATACTTAACTTTTTTTTTTTTTTTGTGAGGGGAAAATCATCAAATGACTTCTCCCGCCCAGGGCCGGGCAGGAGGGAGTGTCAGACTCTTACTGACTAAAACCCCCCCTGTTCCTTCTCCTGCTCTGTGCCGAGGTCGCGGTACCTCATTGCGCTTACCCCGCAACCCCGGCTGAACATCAGCCCTTTAGGGCCCCGTCTGTGGTGGTCTATTGGCTCTTTGAGGCGCGCGCGGAACGCTACGCGCCGTACGCTCGGGCCTGGTTCTGGTCGGGCGGCGAGCTGCCCTTACTCGCCGACCGCAGGCCCGTACTTACGGTGGCCGGAGATCGTCCCTCGATCCCCGACGCCCGTAGTGTCGCCAGTTGCGGCTGCTGGGGCGTGAGGAGGAGGATTGCTCCCTCACGCGGGCCGCCTCTCTCTTTGCGAGCATGACTGCTTCACAAAAGGAGGAGACGGCGTCCCAGTTCCTCTCACTCCGCACCATGGCCTCGACTAAGGCCGGGCGCGAGAGGTCGCCGCCGCCGATCACTTCCCTGAGGATACGGCGGTGCTCAGCCCAGGCAGGGCATACCGCTACCGTATGCTCCACCGTATCCTCTAGGTGGTCCTCACAATGACGACACTCGGGCGTTTCCTCCCGCTGAATCCGAAACAGGAACCTACCGAAGCTGAATGATACTTAACTAGAGACTGATATTAAGCCAGTTATTATCTCTGTATTAAATTTGAACATGATTGTCAAATACGTAAATTGAATCATTTGATACGTATCTCACTAGTGACGTGAGGAGTCATAGCCAGATAAAGGAATATGAATTACTGCCTTCTGCATTAGGGTCTTCACCCGACCATCTATTTTAAGCCTACTCGGGTGTTTATCGGGGCCTGTAGCCATGAGTCCAATAGCAACCACGACGATCCGCACAATGATTGCTTAGTCTAAATCCCATAGGTTGACAATATCATGAAATAAATCAAGATAATATAATAATTTGTTTTTTCATCAGCTTTTATGATATTCTCGTGATGTGAGGTTGTATGTCAATTATTATTGTACGACTACTTGATAAATCTTTCATCAAAATGTTAAGATTGTGGGCTACAACTGTATTCTATCAGTGACTAGCTAACCCGGCGAACTCTGTTTCAAATATAATTGTGTGTCAAAAATGCTACCTCCTCACAACACCTACTACCTTCCCTGGACTTCAAAATATTTTAAGACCAAAATTATTCAAAACGGGCCAGCCATTCTCGAGTTTTAGCGAGACCAACGAACAGCATTTTTATATAATAAGAGATTATAGTTTGATCCTTATATAGCGTGACATCTCCAACTCGAGAACTGGGTCAGTCAGACACTTATAGTAGGGCACTTCATATTTAACAAGTATTTCAAAGCAAGTGAATAATCCAGGCTACATAGTAATTAAGCCAGTTATTATAAGTTTCATTCATACCCAACAGTCGCTTGACTACCAAGGCAGTTGGAGTTGTAATAAATAAGTATAAAACATGACAAAAAAAACAAAATTAAAACTTAAATTAGTATTTTTATTACAATTTGTGACTACATACACTCTTGGATCACTGTTGGATTTATCGACAAGTCATTTACAATGGTCCCGTCAGTCTTACTGATCTTGAATATCTATATTTCGAAAACACACTACTTACAAACTAAAATTCGTATCAGAGTACAATGTAGGTATAAGATATTCACTGCAGTTTCCCTAGGTTTGTGACATGCGACTATAGCCTCTATATAACACTAAACGCCATAAAAAATGGTTTGAACATGGAATGGCATTCAACGTCAATAAGGATGGTAATCATGAAATCGATCATACATAAATATCTATTACAAAATAAGGCACTTATCGTACGACTAAGTACTAGTTGTGTATCAAAATATTAGGAAAATTAGTTGATTTACAATAAATATGAGCTGTCCAAAACCTTAGCCGAACAAACAATACAAAATTGTAACAATTCGCACACCTTGTTCTTCAATAAGTTCAAAAACTTGTACTGCTTCCCTTAATATCACTTTCAAACAATTACACTTTGTCATCTGCATTCATACTAAATCGGAATGAATTCAAAACTTCACTGAACTTCGCCCTTTGTCTCTTCAATGTATCATTTTTATCAACTTTCGGTAACTTTGCTATACTCTCTGTACTAGAATGATCCGTTGCATTTGATTCGTCTGGTGTTGGTGGATTAGACTTCATTAATCTTGGTTTAATAAGCTGTGGACCTCCCACCGCAAATATATTTTCTAACTTATTCTTTAAATCTGCTCTGCTTAATGATTGATCTTCCTCTGGTTCGGGTTCTGATGATTCAGCTTCTGGAGCCTTTTCGTCTGGTGGTTTAACTTCTACGTTAACAGGACGTAGATTTTGTGCTGCCTCTCGGGACAACAACTCTTTCTTCAAATCTAAAAATAATGACGGACGCTCACGATTCACTGCTTGTTCTATATCAGGCGCATTTCCTGTTGAATGTGATCTTCTCCTTGGTTCATTTTCAATCTCATCCTCAGTAGGAATATTTTTTTGGAAAATGTTATTTAATTTCGACATGAATTTGATTTGTCTATCACTACCAAATCTAATATTACCATCACCTTGTGAATTGTTTGACTGTACGCTTACTCTAGGTTCGGTTACATCATCATCATCTTCATCTGGTTGTGGTTCTCTTTTAGGATGCATAGCGTTTACTGTATAAAATTTGTTATAATTATTATAATTGCTCTTAAAAAAGTTTTCATCAAAAGGCGGTGGTGGTGGTATATTAGGAGCAGGTTCATCCAACGATTCACTGGCTTGCCTATCGATTGTGTCTGAATATCCTGATTCATCTGTGCGTGAATTAGAGTCACTATCGTTAAATGCTGTTATTTCTTCATCTTCAAAAGGAATATTATCATCATTGCTGTCTGTTTTTTCTTCTTCTTCACTTACTTTCGGCAAATCTTCTCTATGCACTTGTGCAATCACGTCATATTTAGATAACACCTGATTACCTAACGACGCGTCGGATTCTGCATCGGATAATTCACTCAAAGATTTCCTGTGAGGTATAATGGCGACCCCGGCTGAATTAGTATCATCGTCCTTGCTTTCCTTCAGGCTTATAACTTCACTGTAAGTATCTTCCTCAGCCTGCAGGACTTGATCTAATAAGTCTATAATGTTTGCTTCCTTTTCTTCGTTGGTTTCTACTTGAACCTCTTGTACCAAAATCTCATCAATTTTCTTTGCTCGTATGGCTTGATCTTTCAACTCCCTGTGAATTTCTTGTTCGTCATTATACTCTTCCATTTGTTCATCTGGCCGTGCCATTGTGCGCGGAGGTGTGGGTGATTCCACTACAATTTGCACTACAGTAGGTGATTTTCCATTTTTATTAATATGTGTTTTATCTTTTATATCCTCTTTTAGTGAATTGCTTGCATTTTGCTTGTAACAGTTTATGCATATAAAGTAAATTGGTATTCCTGAAAAATAGAAACAAATATTTTATTAAAGGATAATACTTACTAATACACAAATTTTGTCTCCAGTTTCTCTAAATGCCTCGTCAATTTTGTTCATTAATTCATTAATTTTATTTACATTGCTAATGAATGCTTGCCGTTAAAAGACTATGCGGTTTTAGGGCGTAATGTAAGCCTTTCTCTTAAATATATTTGAATATTTTAATTTTTGTCTTATAACATTTATCTCATTTGGAAGTAGTCCATATATCGCACAATCTGTAACTTCTATAACATACATACATATGGTATAATATGATCTAATCTTTCTCTACTGACTCTCCATATTATAATTCCTTCTTTAATTAACATGACTTACCTAATAAAATCCATATAATGACCCTGATCCAAGTATGGATGTTGATGATGACCATCAAATGTACATTGGTGTATATGCTGAGGCAGGGTATAAATGGCACGAGTGGAGTCTGGAATCAGAAGTTCAAGATACATGCATGCACTGCATTACTGGTCAGTGGGTAGCCTTAGGGTTCACATTTAGAAGGATAAACACAAAACATTTTAGGAGGTCCCTGGAAACAACGGAGCGACCAAAAAAGTTGCTTAAAAGTGACGTTATTGGTTGGCAACGATTTTCTCTTACTAGGGTGGTAAGTATAGTACTCGTATTACTATCTACTTAGTAGTGTTAAAAGAAGAATAGAATATATGTCGGAGCTTAACGAATGACGCTGTCTGTATGATGATTAGAGAGTTTAAATAGTTGCCACCTCTTTTCTTAGTACGGAACGTCAAGCGGTTAGCTTGAGTGAGGTCGCTACGGGGCTGGCAACTCTTTGGTCTGGTTTGGTTGGAACTGTTCTTTTTTCGAGCATGGCAGCCAACTGAAGGGCGACAACTTGGCAGTTAAAAAAATTTGGTGAGCCAGCCCGTAACGAACTCGCTACGTCCGAAGGTAATCCATCCATCATGCAACCTGCAATGGAAGACGCTGAAAACGTACTTTCATTCCCTCCTCCGTCATTAATTTATATAATTACTTACTTTGAAATCCAATTTCTCATCACAGGATGGTTGAACGGCCATGATGATGACGACGAGCAACATGAACACATGAAGAATGATGGCTGGGATCAAAGGCTCTGCTGCATAGACAACCACCAGAGCTATTGTTAGGCATATACAAACTGTAACAAAGAAAGACAATGTCAGCAAAACTCTTCGTAAGATTTCGAGGAGAAGAAGAGGTTAAAAGGGCCCCATACTTCCTTGCAAACTATTCAATGCCGGTAATAGAAAAAGTCTATTACACAATTGAAAATTTGCTATGGCAGATCATTTTCGACAGACCCAATAATTGATGACAGGAACTTTCAGAATATTGGTAACATCTAATGAGTATAAAAACTAAAGTTCTCATTCATCTAAAAATTATGTTATAAGTAGCACAATAAGTTTAAGTGTGGGAGAGCCATGCTTCGGCTTGAATGGGCTCGACCAGAGCTATACCACGACCTCACAGAAACCGGCGTGAAACAATCACAGCGTTGTGTTTCGCCGTGTGAGTGAGGTTACCGGAGGTCCAATCCTTCCCATTCCCCAATCCCTCCCCAGTCCCTAAATCTCCAAATCCCTAATTCCTAAAAGGTCGGCAAGGCAGTCGTAACGCCACCGTTGAGGGTGTCTATGGGCAGCGACGACTGTCGTTTGCCGACCTATTACATAAAAAAAGTATAACATTCTATGGTACAGTTCACTCACGGTATGCAATCATGGCTATATTGATGACTACGCTGGTTGTCCTTGTAGCTGTCCTGCCTCCGAGACCGATGATCTGCTTCACTAGAGGAGCTGACACCTCAGGAACGTAGTCTGATCGATGTCTGGCGAAATTAATTGAATGAATCTTTTAATATATTTGATACTAGCTTTTGCCCGCGACTTTGTTCACGTGGAAAAGTTACTTCCTGCAGATTTTTGGAATAAAAACTATCCTATGTCCTTTCTCGAGTTCCAAACTATGTCTGTACCAAATTTCACAGAAATCTGCTCAGTAGTTTAGGCGTGAAGAAAAGACAGACAGACAGACAGAAAGACAGACAGACAGAGTTACTTTCGCATTTATAATATTAGTTAGGATTAGGATAGTTTTGTCTTTGATTTTGTGGTTTTGCCACATTAAATATGTTTGTCTCGTCCAATGTGAGGAAACCTGGACTTTATTTCTTATTATTAGTTTTTAATCGCCAATCCGCCTTGAGTAAGCGTACTGATTAATGCTCATACCTTGTGAGGGAAGACATGTTTACTCAGCAGTGGGCACTTATGACCTGGGTTATGGCAATTTTCTTAAGTTTGAAGAAAGATAAAGTTGAAAAGGAATTCGTCATTATAGTGTATTTTATAAATACAAAGCTATCAACATAAATCAACACGAAACTTATCTATACCTAAACGTTATCCGGTTTGAATGCAAAGTTTTGGCTCAATTTTCAAAATGCTGACTTTAACTACATAGCATTATAAAAACTTTGATAAGCATGAATCTTAAAATAGGGAATGAGACAATCGGCAAGTCTCGCCAAAACACAATGACACATCACAAATTGTTATTACGTGGATTTTCTTTGTTAAGAAGATTCTTACAGAATATATTGGTACGTGCTTTTATTAGGTAGATGAAATATTTTAACTAACAAATATTAGGTTCCGCAAAATGACAAAATAAAGATTGTACTATCATAATTAAAACTAGCCAATCAAATTATAGAAGCAATGACAGTGAAGCTCCGAAAACGCGAAAGTAATGACTAATTTTGAAATTTTATTGAAAAGTCCCTTTACTGACAATTTCGATAGGCTTGTTGGACTATTTTAACAGAGACCAGCAGCAGTTTTCTTCCGATAAACCATCATTTTAAACTGCTCATATTCCATTAGTAAACTGTACCTACCGCGTTATTGATGATGAAGCTGATTGGACCAATTACACATGAATGCAAAGTCGAACACCTTCATTGAAACACTCACCTAAGCGATATAACACAGGCAGCGACGATCGTATACGAGCACAGAGTCCCAACGCACATCATCAGCACGAGCTGTTCCAACTCCAAGAATGCTGCCAGGATTGCTGAAAATAATATAAAAGACATTTACGAAAATACTTTTAAGAAGAAGATTAGAAAGACATTTAAAAGTAAGATTTATGGAGAGGGAAAAAATAAGTCTTAAAAAATGGTCAAATATAAAATAGTGTTTTTTTTTTACGAAATTAAGTATAGTTTAACGTTTCTTTTTTTAATTAATAAACAAATTCCTCCAATAGGCGCAACAAGCTTTGCCTGTCTGGTACCGAATCCAGTGGAAAGTGATTCATTCAAATGACAATGGCAACTGATACCCACCAAGGTCAAATAAAAATAGTGTGGCAATATCGAAAACCCTTTACAAATCTCTAGGTACTTTAAATGGAACGACGGATGTTGGATAGTCTTATTTATCGAGGAAGGCTATAAAATATAATGCTGTGGCCAATAAAAGCCAAGCAATGAGTAAAACCATATGGAATAAGATATTGTAATAATTAATTAGGTAAATTCCACTATATTCTTTAGGTCAATTTTTACTAGAAATAGTTTTAAAAGTAGCTCTTTAAAGCTTTAACTCTGAAATAATGAAAATTATTTTTATTAACTTTATTATTTATAATTTTCCTTATTTTGGTCTTAAGCCAACGCGACAGTAATTTGTCTACATTTCAACTCATTGCAAAATATTCGGACAAGGAAAGTGTATGACCTTAATAAATTTTCACAAGAATATTTTATTGTACTTTTAAATTAGAGGCCAACTTGCCAATTCATAACGCCCAACAAAATTAACTTATAAACCTTTCTGGGACATCATCAGTTAAATAAAAGTTTATATGTGACGCAGCCAATTAGATTAAGTAACCAACTAGTTAACGGCTTAGCCTTTTCATTATAAATGCAAACACATTGTGTCTCGCGTGGATCTGCGTTCCGGCATCCCACGGGCTAGTGACAAATCCTTAGAACATTAAGTTGACTGCTGGAATAAAATATTAAGATATTTAGTCGAATCTATTTGACTTAAGTTTATGTCGTTAATTAAATCGCTAATAAAGCTGCGATTCATAAATAAAACACGACCTCCAAAAAGTTAGGCAGAATCAGGAGTAGGTAACATACAATGATACACCCTCTTACCTCTCACTTACGGGAGGATGCCTAAGTAATAACAAAAAATCCTTTAATTCTAGGTTGACAACAATTCTTAAATCCGTGCTCTTACTAAGAATACATAATACCTTGTCAGACCCGAAAATAAAACATCACCTTAAACGCCGATATGTTATGTAAATAATTCAAATGTACAAAATTTAAGTATTACTCACAAATAATAGCAGTTGGTATGACAGTGGCAATGATAGGTGACTTCTTGCGGGAGACTCTGCCGAACCAGTGGATGAAGAGTCCATCATTGGCCATCGAGTACAGTAGCCGAGGCAGGGGAAACAACGCGCCGAACAAACTGGAAACAACACATTAAGAACATTAAATATAATTATGTATTACAAAGTTTGTTTTAAAAGTAAAGAAAACGTTACCCCACACAAGGATTTTCTCCTGTGCAGTGGATGCATTTACAAACACACAATTTCGAATACACTTCACACACCTGGCACAGCAATATGTGGATCACACAAAGTGTTGTTCTGTGCGGGAATCGCACCCCAGGCGGGAAGCCAACGCACTAACCGTGCAGTCCACAGTAGTAGAACAAGTTACGTAGTCGTAACATATTAATGAGCTTAGAGCCTTTGAGCAAATTACTAAAATAGTCGTATTATTCGCCTTTTAAAAATTGCAGAGCAATGGCACAATCAGCAGATTTGCTAAATTATTCAATAATTATGAGGAGGAGGAATATAATATAGGTACTCAATGAAAATACCACAACAAAACCAAAAAATCTTTTCAAAACTACAATTTACGGGCAACTGTAAAATACTACAGATTCCTCCCATCTACGATTCTTGCTTACTTCTTTATCTCAAATTGGAAACTTCAAATACAATCTCAGTTGACATGAAATCGTCTTACCTTGTTGAAATACCGAAAACAGCTCCAACAGTGACTATCCACCGCGCCCACTCCCATCCCACATGACTGAAAGCTGTCGACACTGAGGCAACAGCTACCTGAAAATAAGAACAAGTCACATCTGAAGAAAAAAATACACTCAACATGAGATGAAAATGTAATGTGAAGAGATAATACTGAAGGGGACACAATGCATTTTGTGATTAGATATGTATGTAATTCTAAGAAAGTAATTGATAGCAAACCAAAAGAGAACCAATTAAAAACACGCTCACTCTATGTTAGAGATTCTTTTAGCTTAACTCACTTGTAGCGATTCGACCAACCATCATCATCAGCCTATAAGTGCTCACTGCTGAGCAAAGGCCTCTTCTCATACGGAGAAGGTTAGAGCTTTAATCACCACGCTTGCTCAATGCGGGTTGGCGATTTCAAACTTATAATTAGAAATTATAAGTCCAGGTTTCCTCACGATGTTTACCTTCACCGTTTGTCAGTGGTGTCTAAATAATCATAGAAAGTACATATAACTCGGAAAAAGTCACATTGGTACTTGCCAGGTTTCGAACCCACACCCTCATGCATGAGAAGCGGGCTCCTTAAGCTAGCCGACCAACCACTTAATTGAAAAATATCGCTATCAAACCGATGTTTTCACACAACCATCAAGTATGAATCTTTATGATAGGAATTAAGAAAGACTTGAACAAAGGAATGTAGCTCACCATCTCATAGTATGGGACCATCATTGTAACGACGATGCTAACACCAGCGTACGCCATGAACACAATCAGCAGGATCGACAGGATCGCTATAGGTATATTTTTACTCGGCTCTTTTACCTGAAACAAGAAAAAAGCAATGTTACTGGCATTCAACTGCCTTAACGAGCATTCTCATTTAAAAAATTCTAGCATTATTTGTTTTAGACTCCATTCGCTTGGAATAGTGAGATCCTTCAGATGTTTGGTATAAAAACTTATGTTTCTCGAGTTCCAAACTGTACTGTATGTCTGTACCAAATTACACAGAAATCGGAGACAGACAGAGTTACTTTCGCATTTATATTATTAAAATAGATATAGAAGTATAGATAGTGTAGATATAGATTGTATTTTCTCTTTTATTTAAATAATAATTCAAATAGCCGGCAATTTGCAACAAGTTCTAACTAAATTCTCTAGTCTAGTCTTAGTTTTATAACTAAACTAACTAAAGTTCGTCTACATAAATTATTATCTGCCTTATATGTCAAACTCTGAAGTTTATAAGTTAGTCAAAAACATACTTCTTCTCCTGAAGAGTTGACGACATCAAAGCCGACGAATCCGTAGAAGCAAATGGCAGCTCCCTTGAGAGTTCCCATTACACCGTAAGGGAAGAAACCTCCAGTACCAAAGCCCACGGGCACTTGCTCCGGAGGGATATACCAGTTGTCATAGTTTACTGGAAAAATAAAATAGCACAAAAATACTTAATTAAAAATTATAAATAATTGTAAGAATGCTTTATAATGCTTAATGCTTTATTAATTCTCACAATATAAAACCTTAAGATTACAAAGTTAAAATTTACAGTGATTGTGGTTTTATAGTCACAGTACGGATCGCAACTGGCATCTTAGATATATTACGGAGAGTAACCTGTGTTAAAGATAAAAATAAAGCTCATTGAGACAACGATACCTACCTATCGACAAGGGTCGTTCTGCACAGACCGACCTTCAATTAATTTAGGAGAACTATATTTTATTTTACAGCGGACGTCTTAAAACGACTATGATCTTGATTAACACGGGCAATCAAACTAAAAATGTCTACATTATAGACCCTTGCCAAGCACTTTGAAGTTAAGCCAAAAAGAACATACAAATCCTGTGTATGTAAATTAAATACAAGATGTACGAGTGTATGTTAAAGCAAAACTATTAAATGGATCTGAATAAAATTTGGCACACAGATATAAAATAATCAGGATTAACACATAGGCGTAGCGTAATACTACGAGCGATACCACTAGCCGAAGCTAATAAACTCTATCAATAATACTGATGTCGAGAAAACGGGCTTACCTTTGAACGATCCAGCGATGACAATGAAGGCGATGACCAGAATGTTGATGGCAGAGAACACGTTGTTGACTGTGGAGGACTCGCGCACACCAAACGACATCACGACTGCATAACATAAATATCATTGTCAAACTGTTATGTAAACTGGGTGACGACATTAGCAACTAGGCAGGCCCCAATAGTGGGGAGCATTCAAAAATGGGTTTTTGTTTATCCTATTATCATATTGTCCCATATTTCGGTATCAGCACAATCATATTTGAAGTCAAAACAGACCTTTAATCTAGGTACTGTTCTTCTAAAAATTTCTCTAGTAATTTCAGTTTTAATATCTCATTTGGCCAATGCAGAGTTCATTTTCTTTTAATTTGAAAATTAATTAGATTAATTTAAACATTTTTTGCAGAAGACCCAAACCTAAACTTAACTTACACCACACTAACCTACTGTAGACCATGTTCATGATCATCGTCAGACACTCAGTGTTATACTATCAGACTAAATTCCCTTACTCTTTTGAGAAGAAATATTAGATACTAGCTGTTCCCGCGCGGTTTCACTCGCTGCTCAGCTTTATAAGATTGTAGCATGATGTTTTATAGGCTAAAACTCTGTAAAATTGTAGCTATCAATGAGTGAAAGAATTTTGCAAATCCGACCAGCGGTTCCAAAGATTACTCCCTATATACAAACTTACAAATTTTACATCTTTATAATATTAGTATAGATGAAGCATCATTGTTCTTCTATTTCTTCACTTACCTCCCATAGCCAAAACAAAGAGAAAGGAGAAGAGGTCGAAGTAGGAAGAGATGGCGTAAGAGTCGGAGATAGGCATGGCAGACGTCATCCACTCCGACATGGTGTGGTTACTGACTGCGTCTATGTAGGCACTCAGTCCTCGGGCCACGCTCGCTGTGCCTGTAATTACAATGATAAAGTGGTTAACATTAACTGCTAATATCAACTATTAGCTAAGGAATACCGAGTTTCTTCTAAAGCTTTGGAGATGGAACCTATGATCTTCATAAGCGACTATCCATACATATTATTAACAATTGTCTTTTTTTTTATGTAATAGCTCTGCAAACGAGCAGACGGATTACCTGATGGTAAGCAATCAGCGCCGCCCATGGACACTCGCAACGGAGGAGTTACGAGTGCGTTGCCGACCTTTTAGGGTTTAGGGATTTGGAGATGTAGGGATTGAAGAGGGATTGGGGAAGGGGAAGGATTGGGCCTCCGGTAACCTCACTCACACGGCGAAACACAACGCAGTGGTTATTTCACGCCGGTTTTCTGTGAGGCCGTGGTATCACTCCGGTCGAGCCGACCCATTCGTGCCGAAGCATGGCTCTCCCACACTTAACACTATACATATATACTATATAATCCCACACTTGTCTTGGATAGAACTAACGAAAATTTATTGATAGATATCATCGGAGTATAGGAAATAACTTTTTTTAAGCTGATGAGTAATTCAAAGACAAAGTAAAAGAATAATTATTGTAACTAACCATTCACAGGTGCTTTTACAATGTCAAAATAGAATAATAGTCCGCCAATTTATTAGTCAGTGAAGCTGGGTGCCCGTTTCTAATACTAGATTCGAATGGAGAAAAACAAGGAAGACCCATCGTTACTCTTTTAAAATATATATTTCACAAGCTCAGCAATATAATTTTTAATATACATTATATTATTGTACCCATAAGTGAGGACAATGCAGAAAGAAAGTTGTTAAAAACAGTACAAACGATGGATTAAATTACCTCATCATTAACTTCCAAATGCTTCTATATAAACTCTTTGTTGAAGAGTTTATATACACATAGAAGGAACTTCAGGCGACTCTAGGCTTTAGAATAATGGTATCACTCACCGAATATGAACTCGAGAATATTGTTCCATCCGACCATGAAGGCGACCATTTCTCCTACGGTGACGTACGTGTAGATGAACGCCGACCCTGCCAGCGGCACCCGAGCTCCCAACTCCGCGTAGCATAGTGCTGGAATCAAGCAGAAAAACCATAACATCCACATGTAAGCATTTGACCTGCTAAATGGTCTAGAGACATTGTCGTTCGACATATAGTGATCAGTATTATAGTGGTCATGTTGGTTGATAATAATGACTAATGAAAGAAAAATAATGGACTTATATGATACAAAATTTTAATGTATAAATATCAAGAAAGAAAGAAAAGAGAAAAATAGACTGGCAATACCATGTACCCTCATTAGCAATGTGCCTTTTGTGTAAACATCTGAACACAAAGAAAAGTTAAAATAATATAATCAAAACAAAGCCGTTTTCCGATACCTATGCAGACTGATAAAGTTTAGAACAAAGCGGCATACGTTATCAACACATTAATGAATTAATAGTTTCTGTGAATCAAAGTGACGCATTTTCTACACATAGTCTTGAATATCCTTATCCAGTACTAAAACTTGGTGAAAATCCCAAACACAAAACGTTTAATAGGTACACACATATCTCCATCCATATTAACGTTATATTTACAATGTATTCAAACAATCAAATCGATAATAATTGTCTGATAAGAATAATAATTCCGAAGTTATGATGAGGTTTTGAGTAATGTTTGTATAGCATTCCCATACAAAGTATTTTGATAACTCGAATCTGAATCTAATCATAACTCGATAGCCCTTTCTTTGTTCAACTTTTCCTGAATAAGTACGACCAATAAAATTAGGACTTCTGATTGGAAAGCACAGCCAGTTTTCCAATAATTCGAAATTCCATCTGCAAATCGATGCCATGCCATGCTGGGTGTAAGTTCAATAAGATACTGCGGGCCTGGCCTGGAGCAGAAGTAGGAAAGGGATGGATTTTAGTCAGTAAGAGTTTGAAACAATCTCGTTTCACCCACGACGGGCTAAGTGATTCGATGACTTTCCCCCTCAAAAAAAAGCTGAAACCACACATCTGCATCAAATTACGCCATTTTCCTTAGGTACTGGTTTGGCTCCTATAGTGCCAGGTTTTTTGTGCCATGACCAAAGTCTAAAGCCAAAAATCATTTATTTCAATTAGACCCTTACAGGCACTTTTGAACGTCAAACTAAATTTTAAAGATATAAAGTGTCAGTCTGTCGGTCAGTCCTCTTAGTGAAGCTATTCGCTCTTTCCAAAGTGTAGATTCCGATGGAGAAGAACGAGCAAGAAACTCCATGGTTACTCTTTTTAAATCAGTTTCACATACAGATTCCTTTTACAAACAGTAGGTTCAAATTTGGAAGAACAGAGAAATCCGTAGTATACATGTCATAAGCTTGCTCCGGCAACAAAATACTCGTATTCACAATACATAGCAATCTGTTGCCCACTGTAAAGCAATAGATACGGTAGCTAGTAATGTAATAAGTACAATTATCTTCCTCATTTTCTCTTATAAAGTTGCCGAGTTATCAGCTCTGGGTGTGCCGACGAAACAATGCAATGTGGAGTGATTACATGAGTATATCTAGATTACAAACAGTATTTGTTACTCGAGACTGTTTTAAGGTCATCGCGTTTTGTTGTCAGTTAATTCAAGATATTCTTACATCTGTATAAGTTCAGTAGATGCTTAAAATTCTACTAACTAAATTATTCTCTTTATTTTTCTCTTACGTTTCCTCCTATTTCCACTATGACACACGACTAGTGTCACACATCTATTGGTACACTTTGACACATCGCAAAATTACGTACGGCTATTTAAATTTTAGAGGTATACCTTCGGTATATACGTCTTGTTGATAAGTAATTCATTAACATTATTGTTCATCATTAATATTTTACTATCTACCATCTGCACCACCATTGGCAAAAAGAAAGAAAGCCGCAAAAATAATACTCGTATATATCGCAATATGGTTAGACTTAACGTAGATAACCTTTGTTAACCAAACCTTAGGTAAATGTCCGGGTTACTGGTAGGCCGCAACATAAGCAATCAGCGCCGCCCATGGACATCCGCAACAACAGAGAAGTTACCATTGCGTTGCCGACCATCTTGAGGGTTAGGTATTTGGGAGATTTATAGATTGGGGAGGGAAAGGATTGGGCCTCCGGTAACCTCACTAACACGGTGAAACACAACTATTTGGTTATTTCACGCTGGTTTTCTGTGAGGCCGTGGTATCACTCCGGTCGAGCCGACCCATGTGTGCCGAAGCATGGCTCTCCCACACTTTCACACAACTTTACAATAAAAGTAATTCAATGTTACCTGCAAACAACGAGGTGACTGCAGCGATAAGGAATGACAGCAGGATGGAAGGTCCAGCTATCTTCAGTGCCACGGCTCCCACCAGCACGTACACGCCGATACCTAGTGTGCTGCCCACTCCCAGTGAAGTCAGGTCCCAACAGTTCAGACATCTGAAGAAAACACACGAACGATGTCAGATTTTTGGGACAAGAGATATACTATAAATTTGGTTGGTATTAGAAGAATGAGTTGGGCCATTTTGGAACGGATTTTTACGGCAAAAAGCTATAACTGACTAATAATAAAATCACTGGTGTTGCATTTAGAGTAAAAGTTTGAGAGATACACAAAACTTTGCACCATAACATTTGACAATTTAATTCAACAAAATATTAAACTTATTAAATAAATTCTTTCCTGTCCCAAAGTAAAGGAAATATTATTACAATAGCCAATATAGCAAAATCTCCTATTGCAACTATAAAACTATACACTATACACTATTAAAACACACTCCAAAATGGCTCAAAAATGCTCAATCTCGGCGGTAAAAATAACAGCGGTCGCATGTAGCAGCCGCTGACTGAAAAGGCGACGGATCTCTGAGTTTGTTTCGGCATTTTTTCTCAGAGTAGTCAGGTAGGAAATGCCGGCCTCATCCAGTTTTTTACATATTTTGGCGTGTAAAAGTGCTGTTTTATGGCCTATTTGCAAAAATAAATTAATTGTTTCATTGACTGACCCTACAGCATCAAACCGAAAACATACAATTTCTTACCTTCTAAGACTAGAATCACTTGCCGCTCGTTCAGGCTCGAACGCACGCTTCCTGGTCGCGACCTTCACTATGTGCCGCCACGTCCTCTCAGCCATTGGTCAAGTGCACCTGCCCCACATCTGGACTCACGCTTAACTCCTGGAACACCAACGACGATGGAAACAACAATAAACGAGCTGGCCATACAGCTGATGCAGACATTTCTCTACTTCTGACAGAAGCGTATGACAGGAGAAGTTCGTCAATATCTGGTGGTAGAAAGAGTTTTTGGGAAATGCAGGTTTTAATTCTCTAATTACATAGGTTTATGGCACACTATTATTTTTTTAAAAAGGCCTATGCCTTTGATCTCTATTTTAACAAAGTTAAATTCTGTGTCACTTCGTCAATAGTCTGCCATAAAATACAATCGAAGGTTTAATACCAGGGATGGAACACGAGAGTGGAATTAAGTCAGTAAAATTCGGACCCTTCGTTGTTCTAGAGATAAAGTTTTATTTTAAAAAGATACCGAATTGAGACACTATTGTAGATCTTAAAGATGATAGTGCTGACCACATCCAATAAGAGGATTTACCCGAGGTTAAAGTAAAAAAATTCGACTTTTCCGACTCCATAATTATTTATTTTCACCTATCTGGCGAGGGTAATGTAGAATACATTGTCACCATTCCTACCATACAGCCGGAGTTGCGGTTACAAGTCCAAAAATCAACCGCGGCCTGGACCTAAAGCAGGAATAGAAACCGGACGGTTTTAGTCAGCAAGAGTCTGCGACACTCCCTCTCGATCCAACCAGGAAGAGAAATTTAAAAAAAAAAGTTTTTTTCTCTTAAACCTTAATGTTGGATGATGAATATCAGCATCATGTCTCCGAATCCCGCTCCCGAATAATCGTAACAATGTCTAAGACAAACAGATAGATAGTGTAACTGCGTAATCTTGGTCCCGTAATCTCAGATCTTATCTTGCGGTTAACTCGGTAACCTTACGTTCCACAACGTTTCACAATTCTGATAGCCAGTTACGAGTTTATCAGCAGAGAAAGAATTACTAGTAATCTTAAAATGGTAGAAAATAACTATAGGATTTGCTCCATGAAAAAAATACATCTACGTACAGTGCTTGTCTCTCGTTTTTCAGCAATAAAGAAGGAAGGAAATAAATGATTTTCTTTCTCTTTCCTTTTCTATATGATGATAAAATCGCCAATCGGCCATGAGCAAGTGTGGTGATTAATGCTGTCATACCTTCGCCGTGTAAGAAGAGGCCTTGCTCTGCAGTGGCCTCTTATAGATAAGATGATGATGTTGATGTACCTACGCGAATAGATGAATAACAATTCAAAAATGGATATTCATAAAGATTTAATTTCATTTTACATTAAAAATAACTGTATTTTCAAATTTGTATTTTAATTGTCTGTCTTTAGTTATTTTAAGTACTTTTTTTATTTTATTCTATTTTTATTTTGAATCTTGTATTTTTTGCTTTATGATTGTGACTTTCGTGTGCCCTACATTGTGGCAAAATAAATTTATTTTCTTTCTTTCATTTCAAGTCATGTATGTACAAGTTTGTTTTGGCTTTGCGTCATTAGTCGTTGGAATTCCAACCTAAAATGTTAAGCTTAGTGTTTTGGTGACTTTTGGACATATTATTAAACGTATTCGTGGAATAATTTAAATTTAAGTCCTAAATAAGATGCAATAATCTCTAAAATATAATGAAAGTCATCGCTTAAAAAAAACAGAATTGATATAAGATTTAAACACTACACTAGCTCGCGGTATCTGTCGACTCGATTCCCACTCAAAAGCATATCGATAGAACAATATCCGATTTACAATCTCGAGTCGACAAGATTGTTGCATTAACTATAAAAATATTTTTATGTTATATTCAGGAGAGCTATCAACCTCTTTAGTTGCGATCTATACAACGGCACATCAATCTACTCCATTTTACTAAACATCTGCATTCAATTTTGAATTTTATCACAAATGTCTAATGTTGAAAATCTCATGGCTGGTGAATGTACCACAGCACATCAACGTACTCTATTCTCTAAATTTTCTTAAATTTATTTTAAACCTTATCACCATTATACTAGTTCTGAACATTCCATGGCAAGTGTCTACACTACCTGTAAAAGTGTAAACTGTAAAATTTCTTGAATTTGTTTTGAACCTTATCATAAAACGGTAACGCTGAAAATCTTAAAGCAAGCGTCTTCTGTACAAAATTAGACTTTGCTCGGCCTAATGAAATCATATTATAATGTGATTCATATTTTTAGTGTGAACTGTGTTGATTTGGCGTGACGATATCTAAAAGCATGTCTGTATGTTCCTAAGTAGGTAATGAGGCTTCATTGCTTCACGTTACAAGACATAAATGAACTACAAAAAAATTTAAGTGATTTTTTCTTAGGGAAAATTCATCAAATGAATTCTTCCGCCCAGGGTAAGGCGAGAGGAACCGACTAAAAATCTCCCCGTTCCTTCTCCTACTCTGGGCCGAGGCCACAGTGCCTCGTTGCGCTTACCCCGCTACCCAGGTAATAAATGTGAGTGCTGAGATCAGAGTCAGCTGAATTAGCAGTGCAGTCCATTGAATCGGCGGTGGTGGTATTTAATCAATGCCCAGCACACTGCGTGCTCTGGTCAGAATCAGTGTAGAATTAATCTGAAGAATCAGCCACTCTTTATTTCTGAGGCATCCTTTACAATTTCGCGTTAGATACGGAGGTCCTGTTCAGCCGGGGTTGCGCAATGAGTCACCGCGGCCTAGCCCAGAGCAGGAAAAGGAACGGGGGGGTTTTAGTCAGTAAAATATTTATTTTTATTGATAAATGAACAGACATGTCAACTAATGGCGAGCAATCAGCGCTGCCCATGGAAATATTAGAGGTTTGAGAGGTTGGGTTTGAGAGGTTGAGGTATAGGCGTACAGTAACTTTATTTACACGGCGTAACACAACGCTAGCGCTGTTTCACGCTGGTTTTCACTAAGGTTAAGCCAAAAGTAGAATAGCCCGCTATTCAAGACGAAGCATAAGTCTTCCACGACACGTAAACAAATACACAACAGTCATCAAATATTATTGCGATACTTATCAATTTTATATCTTTGATTAATTATAATTATTAAGTACTTTTCAATGGTGACTAATAGGTATTCTGCAATATTTAAGTACCTATATGCTTAAAGTAATATTATTTTGTCCTTTGAAAAACTACTTCTAACATTCTTCTAACACAATAATTAATTATATGTATACTATCCTAAACTATACAGATGGCTGACTACTCGGCTCTACCGCGCGCCGAAAGATATAATGTCATTCACGTGTTCGCATATACGAGGGCACGTTTCTACAAAACCGATGAACTTATTGGGAGCAAATTCTAAAATATCAAAGAGTAGAAATTCCGAGGTTGCTTGGTAAGCGCAATGACGCACCGCGACCTCGGCCTAGAGCAGGAGAAGGAACAAGGGGGTATTTAGTCAGTAAGAGTCTGACAATCCCTCCCGCCCGGCCCTGGGTGGGAGAAGCCATTTGATGATATTCCCCTCACAAAAAAAGGGTAAATATTGGTAATAAGTATAAAAAAATGGGTAGACACTGTAAATACTGAATGCTTGGCTTAGATAATTGACTCACTTTTTATTGGTTTCGTCATACATGTAAACTATTTGTGGAGAACAGACAGAGATTAAGAAGATATGAAATTTTAGAATGGATAATATTCACAGTGAAAAATGATAAATACTGATCCAAAATCGATATTAACTCTTATAGATATAGCTATAAAAAGACAGCTTTAAAACTTTACATTGAACACTCCTTACTGATTTCCAATTGTTTAATCCTTTTCAACCTACTTCGGTAATTTCACCACTTACCTAATACTATCTTATTAATCAGAGAAAAACAACACCAAAGAAAACTCAACCCATTTCACGTTTCCACACCTCCACCCAAAACTCACCCTAATTCACCCTAAGTCAGCCAAACTCCCGTAAACTCACCCTAAAGCCCGTCACACACGACACATTTTCTTTATTCAAGAAATGTTAACGTTCCACTGCGCCCACGCACACCGCGTAACTAAACATAAGATAACAATAAGGTCCCTGTGATAAGATAAAAAAATAATCGGAAGATCTTTTTAACTTGTGGTAACAATGAGATAGAACTGTAGTAAGAGAATAACTCTTATCACAAACGTCATAAGGAAACTGACTCTTAGGCGCTTAAAAACTAAGATTTGTTAAGTAACTTTTAGACGAGTATTTAGTCCTAATGCTATTGTTACAGACGATGTGGATATCGACCCTTATGTGCGCCTGTAGTAGTCTGATGGCGCGAGGAAAAAGTGGAATTTATTATATTGCCTTAAGTAATAAATCAGCTGATGTAATCAACTGTAGAAACACATAATCGAACGATTTGACTTGATTTTAGAAGCACTATACTTAATTGTGATTTTATCCAGATCATTTTCGAAATAGGGAATCAGACTGAGATTATGAAATAAAACGGTCCTAGCATACTTCTGTAGTTTCCATTTCATTTTCATCGGATAGTAGGGCATTCAATTCAAACCTAACTGCTTTTCTCAAATCCTCCAACCATTTTTGTTCTTTTGTAATTATGTCTCAATCTGCCTTCTTGTCATACCGATCATCATCATCAGCCTATAAGTGCTACTGCTGTGCAAAGGCCTCTTCTCACACAAAGCAGATATTGCTGAGCGCTAATCATCACGCTTGCTCAAGGCGGATTGGCTGATCAAACTTGTAATATCAGAAATTATATAAGTCCAGATTTCCTCACGATGTTATCCTTCACCGTATGTCAATGGTGACTACATGATCGTACAAAATTACATACGTATAACTCAACAAAAGTCAAATTGGTGCTTGCCAGATTTCGAACCCGCATCCCCATGTGCCTACGAGGAGCAGGCGACTTTTAACCTCCGGGCCACCAATCCGCTATGCTATAACTTTCTTAACTTTGGTCACAAAATTATTTTAACAATCATAAAATATTCTATTTGTAAGTAAATGGTGACTTGCTGCAACAGTACACGCTGACATAAGACAGGCAAAATAAATACAGTGTACTGAAATATGGTATCTTGTGGTACAGTATGCATAACTACCGTACATGATTTTCTCTTAGAAATTACAACTATTGTAATCATGAGTATTCTTATCTGAAGATAAGATTCAATCTTAGAAATGTAATAAGTCATATATTTAAGGTAATTTATATGTACGTACATTGTATATAACCGTAGTCTTAGATTGCATTACCAATTCCTGAAATGTTCTTTGATACTACAAATTTTACCTCTTTATACTTATATTATAAAGAGGTAAAATTTGTAAGTTTCTATGTAGGGGGTAATCTTTGGAACCACTGGTAGGATTGTTAAAATTCTTTCACTGATAGATAGCTACAATGATCCTGAGTGCTATAGGCTATAAAACATCATGCTATGATCAAATGAAAGATCACGCTATGATCAAGTGAAACCGCGCGAGAGTAGCTAGTATGATATATTTTGTCTGTTTTAGTATTTACTAAGTTATATTATATAGTATGTGTGTAATTGTAATTTGTATTTTTATGGATTAGGAAGCTAACGAGCAAAAGGATCACCTGATGGTAAATGATCGGCCAATAAGTGCATATTAATTGCAATCCTGTACCACTTATCACATAAATCGTCCTTGCCACTTTTTTTAAGAAGGAAAATCCCGACACAGTCTCAGAAAACCGTTCTGAAAGCTAGGATTTACAGGAGATGAGGTCACTTTCGCGCCCGGCCTTAGTCGATGGCATGGTGCAGAGCGAGAACTGGGAAGCTTCTCTTTCTACAAAGTAGAAAGCTTGCAGAAAAAAGTTTGTAGACGGCGGCATCGGGGATCGAGCGATCACCTCCGCGGCGCAAAGGTAAAGGGGGTGTTTTTAGTCAATTAGAAGAGGTTTTGAGTAGTAGGTCTTTGAACATCAGTGAGCAGGCTTATGATTTATCCAAATGTATATTTTAATGAGATAAATATTTTGATCTTATTATAGCTACTCGTATGTATATGTACATAACAAGATATACACAATTATTATATTTGCATTTGCAATTCAATTGCATTGTTTCCTTAATAAAAATTGTATATATTTTTTTTTATTTCATTACTTATATAAAATGTATACATACAGAAAATGATGAATGTTGGTACATAAAACGGAGTTAATGCCATGTGTCATTCTCTACACTTCTGATTATAAAGGTACGGGAAATATATTTTGTAACGAAATAGGGAAAGGAGAAATATTAATATAAGTATCACTACATAGTATAAAACAAAGTCGCTTTCTCTGTCCCTATATCCCTATGTTTGCCCAAATCCTTAAATCTACGTAAAAGATTTTGATGAAGTTGTTTTTATAGATAGAGTATTTGAAGAGGAAAGTTTATATGTATAACAACATCCATTAAATAGTGGAGAAATTTAGTATCAGCATTACACACGTGCGAAGCCGGTGGGTCGTTAGTTATACATAGATATAATACATATATATACCAATTTCACATTATATGTAAATCATTTTATTGCTTCATTACTGAGTACGATTTTCTTATCGTAAGAAATATTATAAGCACTTATTGTTAAAAATAAGTCTCACACAGTGATTGTAAGTTGACTTTCGTACCTACTTGTCCTTTGTAATTAACAACTTGTGAAGAAAAACATTTTGAATGTTCGAGGACGTTGCTGGACTAGGTACATAATTATGAGCCCCTATCGTAGCTTGGAACTAGACGTGTAAAGAACGAGGTCCGTTAATAAACTGTATTGTTTTATAAGTTTTCTTTGTCTGTTTGTTTGTTATTATTATATACAACCATTTTAAATAGAAGTTATCTTTATAAAATAATCATGTTTTACTTTCTTTTAATTTTTTTTTTAATCTTTTGTTTTAATCATTTTTTATATTTGCGAATAAATTTATCTTTATCTTTTATCTTACTCCTATACTATTTAGAAGGACAATCAAGGAATGGTTTGAGACCTAGCACAAGATTAATTTGGCTCTAAAATATTGCCTACCTGGTTATCCTTGTAGTCATAAGGTAGGTATTTCAACAATGCACAAAACTTGTCATATAAAAGAGATTGGCCAACTTGAGGCTTTATTATCACTAGATAAATACATACCAATATATAATATCTACGAAACGATCTATTACAACACTAACACTCAACGCATTCCTCAGAAACAGTTTAAGCAAAATATAATTCAAATTACACACAAAATTAACACATTTCTAAAAACAATAATTACCTAAAATAAACACTGGAAAAAAACACTAAAACACAGTGTCACTATAAAGTACCACTTGAAAACGGTCACTAGCTCATTTCTGGTACTTTTTTTTTGAACAAAAAAGTCGGTGTTTGCTATGAAAGGTGTTGTCACACTGTACCTGTTATCAGATAGGAGCGACGATTAGTTAGCTGCCTATTATCTTTGTTACAGTGTGTACACAGGCGTAAATTGGCGGAACATTTTGTTTATCGTTCGTTATACTTACTTGATTAGAATGAATTAGTCTATTAGGTGTAATTCTGGAATAATTGATCATCAATAATATGACTGCACTGTTGGCACGGTGGCTGGACAACTGGCTGCGGCGCAAGGTGTCGCTGGTTCGATTCCCGCACGGAACAACTCTTTGTGTGATCCACAGATTGTTGTTCCGGGTCTGGGTGTGATGTGCATGTGAAATTGTATGTTTGTAAACGCATCCACGAGACAGGAGAAAATCCTAAAGTGGGGCAACGGTTTTTTTTTAATCGCTTATAGTTTTTTAAGGATGAAGAGCACAGATCATACTATAATAATGAGCTAAGGAGATGGAGAAGTAAGTTGTAGGTTAATTGTCTGCCTCACCACGTCGAAATATAAATAAATTGATTTTTTATGTAAGAGGTCGGCAAACGAGCAGACGGATTACCTGATGGTAAGCAATCAGTGCCGCCCATGGACAGTTTCGAGTGCGTTGCCGACCTTTTAGGGATTAGGGTTTTGGAGATAAAGGTATTGAAAAGGATCGGGGGACGGGAAGGATTGGGCCTCCGGTAACCTCACTCACACGGCGAAACACAACGCTGTGGTTGTTTCACGTCGGTTTTCTGTGAGGCCGTGCTATGACTTCAGTGGAGCCGACCCATTCGTGCTGAAGCACTCTCTCCCAAACTTAAATTATAATACTAATAATAATTTCGTTCATACTACCACCTATTTGATGAAAAAAGCATGACGTCACAGCTCATTCATCCTGTACAAAATTTAAAGACAGTTAATAGACAACGGAAGTATGGCTAATGTGCTTAATTAGTGGCTGATTAGGATAAGACGTAAGGTGGCGGATTATTTGCGCATCTAGGTTTATATCTAGTTCTTGAAGCTGATGATGGAATAGCTGGATACGAATCTACACTTTGAAACGAACAAATAGCTCCACTAGAGAGCTGACTGACATACTGATACATTTAAATTTTTGTTTGACGTTCATACATGCCTGTAGGTAGCTGTAGTTGTTCTAATTGTAGACATAGACATTTTTACGTACATTATAATTTATTAAAGAATATCTATAATGGTCATTTGAATAAAGAAAAGCCGGCCCCTTTTTGCTAAAGGAAAGATGGCATGATAAGATTATCGAAGTAATCTGAAAGCAAAAAATTTAAAAGGAGATAACTTAGTTCCGTTAATTATCTTATGGTACCTATTGTACTAAAAGCAGTTCTTGTTGCAGCTATTATACTCACTTACATGGTAAGCAGTTATAAATGATCCTACGTTGCCCCGTAAAACAGTTTGGGAAACTGTGGTACAAGTTTTGAATGGTTGTAAGATGAACATGTGTGGGAGAGCCATGTTTCGGCACGAATGGGTCGGCTCGACCGGAGTGATACCACGGCCTCACAGTATACCGGCGTGAAACAATCCACAGTGTTGTGTTTGGCCGTGTGAGTGAGGTTACAGGAGGCCCAATCCCTTCCCTTCCCCCATTCCTTCCCGATCCTTATATCCGCAACCCCTATCCCCAAAAGGCCGGCAACGCACTTGTAACGCACCTTTGGTGTTGCGGGTGTCCATGGGGGGCGC